ATTGAGGAAGCTTTGTTTGTAATTTTTGGAAGAAGGGTTTTTTCAGTGTTTCCAAGTAAAGGGTTGGGTGATAATAACGATTTTACCGTAGAAAATTGTCATAAAAAGCATACGTTGGGGAACCCAAAATAAAAAGATTTACAACAGTTTCGAATTTAAAAAAAGGAAAATTTTTTAAAAGTGTAAACAGTTTTACTTATTTAAAATAAAATTAGTCAAATGTTGCAATTGGCCCGAAATATTACAGACTACAGAGCGGGGGTAAAGGGGAAAACTTCCACTGCTACTTTTTTATATCTAACATGAAAAGGCAAATAAGAAGTGAAATTAAAATTTCCCATTTGAATTTAAAAGGGAGTTTTTAAATTAAAAAAAGTTGTTGCCCCCGGGGTTTTAGAAAAAAAAACGAAGGAGGATTAACGGAATTTTTAAGGTGTAAAGGGAATTGGGATGTTAAACTCCTGATTTTATATTTGGCAGTTTTTGGGGATAGTTTAAACCAAAAAAAGGGACGACAATGCGAGATTTCAATAAAAAAAATTTCCAAAAATTTTGGAAAACCATTTACCCTGGGCACCAATAAAATTTTGTCAAAGGCATTGAGCACGGGGTAAGGTCCCGGGGGTTTTAATGTCAACCTAACAGGTATGAGGTAAAAAGAAATAATGCTAGCTCTAAAGCCTTTTTTCTTTTCGAATTTGGTAACACTTCTATAATTTTAAAAGGCAAATTAATGATCAGGCTTTCGAAAAAAAGATATTTCCGGAAACTTTTTTAAAATAAACCCACATTGGGTTTTTTAAGGGCTATCGGTCAGATAAAAGAAAAAAAAGGGGGTGGGGCTACTTAAAAAACACGAAATAACTGGGCCAGTGCAAATACGTTTAAAAAATATATTTTATGATTGTTTTTTGTAGAGGGCAGTTTAATTTACTCCCGTCTTTAAAGTCTTGATAACTAGGAAAAAGGATGCTTGTTTAAAGTAAAACGTTGACGTGATTGCATTGACACTGACAGATGGTTTCCAAAAACCCCAAAAGGGTTTAAAAAACTAAAAAAAAAGGGGGCTAAAAATGTTCTTCGCAGATTTTTATGAATAGAGAATAATGCTGCGATTGATCTTAAAACAAAAAAACAAAAGGGGACACTAAGACTTTAAAACATTGTAAACTAACATGGTACGATGCATGATACGATAGCACATGTTGGACCAAGTTAAATAGTTTAAATTGCAAAAATTTTAAAACGGAAAATAAAAGCCCCAAAACCACGGAAAAGCAAGATAATAAAGTTTTTTATAACCCAGGGGTCGAGAGGTTTTGAGGTTTGTCATGCAATGCAGTTTGCCTTTAAAAAAGTCGGTTTAATTTGTATTCTTGTCATTAAAAAAACCCAAAGATTTTGGGTTAAAAAAGTTCGGTTTATTTTACCCCGGGACTCGGGGCTACTTGAAAAATGTTCAAATTTGGGAAAGGTTTAAAATGTTCTTTTTCCCTTTTTCTTAGTCTTACAGGAGATCTAAAACGGTGGAAAGGTGAAGTGGGTCCCGGGAATTTTATGGGTAAGGGCTTACGGTGGGGAAAAATTTTCGGTGGGGGGCCCGTACAAAACAAAAAGGGGTTAAAAAAAAAGGATATTAGGTGGAAAGTTTTATTAAACAGGGATGAGTTTTTTAAAAATAAAGGAAATTTAAAAAATAATGCGAGCCCAAAAAATGGGTTTTTATTTTTTTTGTATTTATAAATTGGCAGGTTTTCCCCCATTAAAATTTTTGAGTTACAGGAGTTTTCAAGAGTGGGGAAATTCCCAATTCGAAAAAAAAATTTGGATTTAAAAAAGTTGTTGGGCCCAAAAAATTTTTGGAAAAAAGAACAGGCAAGGGGAATTTCAAGGGGTTTCTAAAGTTTTTGTTTTACACGATTTTAATTTTTTGGGCAGTGGTCACATAAGCCCTTTTCCCATTTTCCCGGTAAATATCAATTTTATAATAAGGGCTTGATAGTAAGAAATAATTTCGAGCTCTCAGCCCTATTTAGAGGGCGTATACTATTTGAAATTTTATTGGGATTGTACGACTGAAAGATGAAATTTAAATTTTAAAATTCCCAGACAAAATATTTTAACGGCAGCTTCCTGGGGAAAAGGGGCAGGGGGGTTTGGGAAAATTAAAACACACGAGATAGCCGGAACCCGTTAAATAAGTGAGCTATATTTTAATTTAAATTATTCTTAGAAGGAAAGTTTTTGGTTTATTTTACTCTGAAGGGTCAAACCCTTTACTACAAGGGGGGCTTCGTCATTAAAAAATAAAAGTTGAAAGTATTAAAGTGGGTCCCGGGTGCAATAAAAAGATATTTAAAAGTTTAATCATTTTACACCTACGCTAAAACTTGTTCCCCCAACACTGTACAAACTACCAAAAAAAATTTGATTGGCAGACCGGATTTGATTTTAAGGGAAAGAATTTAAAAAAACTATAGACCACAGGAAAAGATCGTTGAAATTTTTTTTAAAAAAAGAACGGCACTGTGCACAAAACCCCAAAAAAAGGGGATATGAACTTTATATGGGGAAGGGTTTGACCTAGGCAAAATTTTAAAGAATCGCACTAAAATTTGGGGCCCCGCTCAGCCTGTCATTTCCCCCTAATCTCTATTAATGAAAAATAAAAGCTGGGGTCCTCAGGTAAAAAACAAGATGATAACAGAAACAAAGAATCATTTTTTTCATTTGTTGTTCCCCTTTGGGCCCCAAAAAAAAATTTCTAACCCGAAATGTGGTTTGAAAGAAATAAGCCCCTTGACTCCCCCTTTGTAAATTCTAAACACTAGCAGTAACCCGGGGGTTTTTTTAAGGTGGGGGTTTAAGGGGAGGGCAGACAATAACACCGGAAAAATTAAAAAGGAAATTTAAAAAGGGAAAATTTAAAAAAAAGGGAAATTTAAAGAGGGGAATTAAAGAGGAATTAAAGAGGAATTAAAGTGGGGAAATTTAAATTGAAATTTTCCAAGGAGAAAAAACTAACGAAATCGTCTTGGCTATACATCAATTAGAAAAAGGTTTTTTATTAAATTTTAGATTTTTACAAACTTGGGGCCCCTTTAGATGAGATAAACAATAATCTGTAAAAAGGGTAACTTAAAATTGGGAAAATAATTGTTTTGGGGGGAGACTGTAAAAATTTTGGGGGAAAAAAGTATCCCGTGGTTTTTAAAAAAAGACAGTTTTTTCAGAAAAAAAATTTAAGTTTGGTTCGATTTCCCCATACTGATTTGTAAGATCCCGAAAAGCAAATTATGGGCGTCTCAAAGCATTTTTACAAAAAGGATAATTTATATAAAATAAATTTTAAAAGGAAAAATTGTTTTTAATTTTGGTTTTATCGAATTTTTTTATATCAGATGGTTTATTTTTTAAAGATAGGTGTATATTTTTTGCTATTATTTCTAGAAAGGGGAGGTTCGGATAAAGTACCAAAATTATTTTGTATTTTTGGTTGCAAATCCCCGGGAAAAGGGTGAAAAAAATGTCTCTTATGAGGGGATCCGGATTTGCCTTCCTTTTTTTTAAAATTTAAATTTTTATAGATTAACTTCCCCATTTTAAAATTTAGGGGAGATAAACTTTTTTTGCAAAAAATTTTTAAAACAAACTAAAAAATTTTACCAAAAATTAAAGGGTTAAGCAAAGGGGGCTAAATGGGTACGGAAAACATGATTTCCAAACACAAGCGGGTCTATTAAATAAGTTTAAAAAACTAGGATTAAATTTCTTTTAAACCCCTCATCAAAGTTGTACGTATGAAAATCAGACCAAAATTTAAAACGTTTTTCTGAACCCTTTTAGAAAAATTTTTACACTAACTGTAAAGGAAAAAGGTTTTTAGGGCAGAAAATTTAAATTATAGCAAAAATCTAAGGTTTTCTTTCGATCACCGGGCCCCCTTTGGGAAAAAAACAAAAAAGTTTGCCGGGCCCCAACAGGGGAGTCCCAAAAAAAAAAAAACTACAAACGGGCCCGTTTTGTATAAGGTCAAAATAATCTGACCAAAATTTTTTTCCTTTGAACCCCCAACCCCCTTGATTTTGGATTTAAGTAAAACGTTTTTGTTTTGGGGAAAAATTTTAAATTCCCAAAGCATAGCATGGGGTATATAAAAAAAAATCTTCAGATAACGCAAAAATGGAAATTTACAAAAAAAAAACCATCCCTTTCGGTGTTTTGTCATGACCCCGGGCCCTTTTTTTCTTTGATAATTTTCGTTTAAAAATAAAATCTTTCGCTAGGTCCTTTTTAAAAAAGAGTAAATGTCGGGCAGTAAAAATAAACAAGTGTAGACAATGGACGATTTTTTTAAAAAAAAGTGTTGAAAAATCGAAAAAGGGTTTTTACAAAATTTAATCCCTTTTTCTCTGGGGAACCAAAATTTAAACCCTGAAAAGGGGGGGTACCGGAAATTAAATGTGCAGTGTGGGTAACAAAAACACGAGGTGGGAAGTGAGCAGCACTCCCCTTTTAAAGCCCCTCATTCGCTCCCATTTTACAAAACCAATAATCAAAATTTTTTCAATCTAAACTCCGCCGCGCGGTCCTCTAGTAATCGGTTTTTTTCTCCCAAATTTGGGAGTTTGGGGTGGGACGGGTCTTTTCTGAGGCCCCAAATTTTGGGTTTTTTTAAAAGGGTTTACGTTTAAAGTGGGCACCCCGCACATTTAACTTCCAAAGAGGTACTGCCATTTTTTTTGAGGCGTGGAGGCGTAAAAACACCCCAGGCCCCCAATAAAGATTTGCGGGGGGAAAGGGCTGAGCGCGGGCCCAGTAAAATTCATTAACATTACCAATATTAAAAACTGTCCAAAATATCTAAGAAAGTATTCTCTAGCCAAAGGGCTCGATATTTAGTACTAGCAAAATTGTGTGTTTTGTACTAGGAACACAATTTTTTAGAAATTTTACTGGTGCATCCTCTAAAATCCCCAAATTTGTCCAATTTAACCGACCTTCTTTAAGAGGAGGAGAGGGTGCCAAAAAGGAGACGCTTTAGGCGCCCCCAACAGAATTTTCAACGCACCTGCAACAGGCTTTTGCCTAGCTTCGTCATAGATGAATGCTAGAAAATCAATTCTTCGAGATTAGCCAATAATATATGCTGAGTCAACTATTTATTCCTATCAGTTTTAAAACAGTTATACCAATTTTGTATTAATCTGTAATAAAGATCAAAATTCAAATTTCTATTCCTTAAAAATGTGTAGTCCTTGTCTAAGTCTAAACGTGGACATTGATTGTAATTGTAACTAACTGGTATGACTAGGAATAAAATTGTATATTAAAAATATCGTGAAAAGAATAAACTGGGAAAACAAATAAATTAAAATTAAGTAGCGAAGCTATTAAAAATAAAAAATATATAGAAATAAAAACGTTTAAATATTATTAAAATTATATGAATTGTAGAATTAAATAATATTTTACCGTAAAGCTCGCGCTCGATTTAAATTGGAGGACTTTGCCGCTTCGAGGCGGCGCGCAAACTAGCATTCTTGCTTCGCGAAGCAGAGCAACGATCTCGATGGGTTGACACCGTCAATCAAGATTCAATAAAAATTAAACGTGCGCGGCGCGTTTGAATAATTATTTTATATCATATTTAAAATATTTGGGTAAACAAAAAAATTCCATTGTTGCTATATTAAAATTTAAAAATGTCTGAACATGAATATTGAATACAAATTAAAATTTTTCTATCATTCATCGTTTTTAGAAAAATAAATCAGCAACATGCAATTATTAAATAATACCATGCGCTAATGTCATGTGGGTTACTCTAACCAGAGCTCTCTCGCTTGCAGTAGCGCGCGACCGTGAAACAAGCGCGTCACGCAGTACGCGTAGACACATGACTATGTGAATCATGTGAGCTGCGCCGCGCATGTAATATTTGTTGTGGTTTGAGATTTCGACGGATGTTACTCGTCTAAATTTCTTCAAAGTAGCGCGCGCCGCTTTCTTCTCGAAATGGCCCGACGGTAAGTGCTCACAGGGGGGGCTGAAACCAGGTTTTCGATCAAATGCTGCCATTTGTAGTCAAACGTCGCCAACAGTTGCTCTCGTCCAATGAAATCGCTGCATTTTGCAAGTCAGTATGCATAATTGAATTACATATAATCATATGCGGAGCTTGGCTTACATAATGCAGCGATTTCATTGGACGAGAGCAACTTTTGGCAACGTTTGACTACACATGGCAGCGTTTGATCGAAAACCTGGTTTCAGCTCCCCCTGTGTGCTACGAAGTAGCGCGCGCCGGGCCAGACCATTAACAATGGTCAATTTGAGATTGCGTATACAAACCTATAAATTTACGGGTTGAAGCTCAATTGACGATGTCAATTGACGATGTCAATTCATAGTTACTGGGCTGCGCTTAGCCTGTCATTCCGCCTAATCTCTGTCATGTTTATGACCATGATAGCCTGAGGTCCCAAGGTAAATTCATAGCAGCTTGGCGCGGCACAGTAACGCATCGCGCTACAACATTGAAGCCTAATCTTTTTGCTTGGTTTTAAAGATCGAAGGAAATGTAAGCCATTCGTATTAGTCACTCAAATAAATAAAATGGGAGACAAAATTAAAATGTCTAATAAATTGCTTTTTTGCACAATTTGTAAAACACAACTAATATAATATGGAAAATTGACACTTCTGACTGTTTTTTAACAATCATTTCATCAAGGTTTACTGAGACAGGTTTATTCTCTTCCGGATTAAACATATTAAAGCTGGTCTTCTTCGGGCCTGTAGTTTTTCCTGCTCTAAAAATGACCAATGCATTAGTCCAGTCTTTGTGTATGTGGAAGTGACAACTCAATAAAACACTCATTAATATGCAAAAGGGGTGGATATGTATCTCTTCGCCACAACTCATTGAGGGATGTGTTAGCAGAGCTATTAGAAACTGCTGGCTGTAAAGATGCTACCACTGAACCTCTCCTCATTCCTGTCAACGGGAGAGAACTTCCTGCAGGGGCCAACAAAGCAGATGGAGCTAGATAAGATTACATGTTAGTGCTAGGAGTGTATGGAACCCATTGGAAAGGGCATTTTTAGATGTAAGAGTATTTCATGCTCAAGCTCCTTCCAGAAATGTGTTTTTGTTGGTTACAATTCTGTCCGTCCAATTTCCTATCCGCTTGTCCTCTTCTTTTTCTTCTGTGACGGAATTGTAATGAACAAAATCTATATAATTATTTATGATATGTTTGATTTTTTGTTATTGTATGTCATTCAAATTTGGTAGACGGCCCCAACGTAAATGTGGCTCTTGCTATGTGTTGGTTCAGCCGAATTAATTATTATGTAATCAAGTTTATTTTTCTCTTTTAGTTAGTTGTCATCCGGCCAAACATTAAGCAACTTTATTGCAGCACCATTTATCATTTAGTATATCAAAATATGTCATTGTAATTTTGCATGGCTGAAATGTAACGCTTGATTTATATATATATGATAATTAATTGAATTTTCAAATAAAAATAATTTGACAATATATGACAATATATGACAATATTTGACAATTATATACAGGGTGGGCCAAAAGTCAGTTCCCATACGTTGGCATTGATAGCTCCGCCGTGTTTTATATTTGAGAGCTGTTGCTTTGAAGATGGCATACTGTACTTCAAAATTCGTCAAAATTTGAAAATTCGAATATTTTAGACCACGCCCATTCAATATTAAAACACCAGCTATATTGTTTTCTCTGAACATGCTGAACGCCTAATTTTTTCAGAGACGGTAGATTATCAAATGTTGCTTATCAAGCATTTTCTGTATCTCGTTAATATATAACAAAATTGACTGGGTGATTATGTGACACCGTGACAAGACATCTTAATTGGGCACCCTTAACAATTTCCATAATGTTTAACGGGGTATTTAACGGGGTCACCTTATCACGTGATTAGGTAAACCAATCACCTGATCACTTACCATTCATCTCTGGAACAATTTGTATTAAGATTCGCAACTACATCAAATCTAACAAACTCCCCATCAGAGTTATTTTTACACCTGGTAAGAAGTTACAGGACATCTTCTGCCGCTCTCGTCCACTGGATAAGAGGACTTGTGACCTTGGTAACCCTAACAATTGTGAGATCTGCCCTAGACTCACAGGAACAACATGCTCAACAAAAGGAGCTATTTACTTAGTTACTTGCGAGTTATGTGGTAAGAGATACTGTGGGGAAACTGAGAGAAGCCTCCATGCTCGTCTGATGGAGCACAGACAGGCTGCTAGGAATCCTAGAGCACATCCAGAGAATGGGGTTGGACAGCACTACGCATCTCTACATCCTAACCGAACCCCAGTTTTATCTTTTAAGTTACTTGATTTACAGAGTAAAACTGTTCGTAGAAAGATTGTAGAAGCGATGTATATATTGAGATTAAGTCCTGAAATGAATGATCGTTCTGAGTTGAGTTATTTGTACAAATATTTAGTCGATGTTTAACTAGTAAATAATGTATTGATAGGACTATCTTGGATAGTAACCATGACAACCGAGTTATCGTTGCTTAAGTGCTGATTTTATCATTAGTTTTTACACATGAACTGTGAATTCTGAACAACCAGTTTTACGTTTACTAATTAGTTTAGTATCATGAGTAGTACAGTATTTAGTTGTATTAGCTTACATTTCTTCTTGTCGTATATTTTTTGTTGTTTTGACATTTTTTGCAATTACATTTTTGGGTCATATTTCGTAAATTTTATTTCTCTGTTTTTGTTTTAATGTTATTTTAAATTTCTTTCCGTCGTTAATTTTTACACATGTTTAACAATTTTATTACAGAACTGAAGAAGACGTTGTTACGTGGAATGATTATTTCAATTCAATAAAGTTTCTAGCCTAAAGTTTGCTGCTTCAATTTGTTCGCAAGTTAAGAGTCTAAAGAGAAATTCTCCAAGAGAAATCAAGTTCAAATGCGACTCATAAATATAGCCCCCTTGAACTACCTGATCACACGTAATGAATAAACTCGTTATGCTTCATATCTCGGTCATCTGAGAAGCTACAGTTCTAATTCTTTCAGGACAAACGTAATTCGAATGGCCAAACACAATTCAATAACATTTAGCTTGATCCGACTATCTAAACTATCAAATAAATGTGAAAATTAACCTCCATTTGAAAAAAATGAACGCGAATATTTTTCGAGTTGACAAATTCCTCGAACCAGTGGTGGTACTAAGTCATACCAGAAAGAAGTATTTAAATTGGGCACTCAGTGACTGAGCTATAAAGGCCAACGTATGGGTACTGACTTTCGGCCCACTGTATTATGACAATATACGACAATAGTTGACAATATATGACAATATACGACAATTGTTGACAATATACGACAATATTTAAAACAATATTTGACAATATTTAACAATATTTGACAGTATTTGACAATACACGACAGAATTTGACAATATATGAAAATATACGACAATTTATGACAAGATATGACAAGTTTGACAATATGTTGTTATGCGCTTGACTAAAATGTTCTTATGCCAACGTGGAATTATTTGTATCACGTTGTGACCCCCTGTCATTGCACTCGTGCGCAGCAGTGCTACAACATGAAACAAGTCATTATGGACTATCTATTTATGAAATTTAAACATTTAGAATACAAGTCAGTTAATGAAATATTTAAAAAATAACTTTTACTTCTGCTTTGGAATTTTTATTTATCTTTGAATTCATTAGTTTAGGCTAAGCGTCGTCATTATAATAAGTGATTAATACTGTGTACTATCTTATTACCAATCTTATGGTTGTTAACAATTAACATTGCCAGTGAATGGATATTAATATTTGACAATTATCAGTGAATGGAACAATGAATGTAGAAGTTGTTGTAATACTACTATTTCTTTTCAACATTTGTCTGTCTGATCATGGTATGTGCAAGTAAATTTTACAATTTTGTAATTATTTTATTAAAAAATCACACATTTATGTCGACAGATGGATCATGGCTCTTTACATACCCTCGGTTCTATTTTAGTCAGTCAACCTTTTATGGATACAATATACTGATTTGTTGAGCTTTACCTTTAGACTTTTAGATGAGGTGATGTCTTAAATTTTACTTAACTTTGGTTTACTTTTTAAGTTATATTGAATTGTGTCATTTCAAATCTACTGAACCTAAGTTGCATTACCCCAGATACAGAATACAGGATCACAATAAAGTTAAAAGATCACCCTGATCAGAAATATTTTGGGAGATGGTATTGGAGACGGTTGTATGTTACTGTTAAAGGAAACCTTGGGGACACTAAAGAACATGAATGTGCTAGAACAGTCAATTTACCTGCTAGTAGTGTAACATGCACAACAATCAAGGACCAGATTTCTATTGGAAAATTCACGTGTCTGGCGTTTGCTGAATTTGAGTCTGAATATGGTGCAAGGATCATTTTCACTAGGGCAAGTTAAATAATCTCATTTTTGCTATGATATGACAACTGTATCTTGATTGACGTTAACCAATAACTATGTATGACTACAATATGCCAGAATAGTCCTTTACATGATGTTGCCAAATGTTTCTTGTGTACATGCAAAGCTATGTTATTTAATGCATTTTCTGTTAATACTGTCACATATAATATACTAGTTTTGATCCATTGCATTAGTCGAAAAAGTACTTAGCCTAATCTGATTCATATTAAAAAAAAGCAACAAAAAAGATGCAGGTTAATAACCACCAAAATTCAATTCTAAAATTCCTCACTGAGCCCGAGGCAAATTATTTAAAAAAGTTAATGTCAAGAAAGGAATACAAGGAATGCAAATTTCAAATCTTAAGCTCCAAGATTGTCAAGATAATAACGATATCATAACACAATTTCTCGCCCTAAACAAAAATAAAAATATTAACATAGAATGAAATTTCACAATATTAGGTCTTTCTTAATTCAATCAAGTTAGTTTTTACTTTTTAGATTTAATGTTATTACAATTTTCAGTCACTTTGTTGATACTTGAGCCAGGCTACTTTGTGCTTGTTGTTGCGCGAGGAGACGTGATAGAAACAAATGTGTTTAGCAAAAGCAAATAGTTTGGTACAAAATGAGGGGCAAGTTTTTTGATAACATTCACAATAATTGTGCTATCGAGTATGGCAAAAGCATAAATAAATATAAGTATATAAAGAATAAATATTGAACAAGTATGCCAAATTTGTCATCTTAAAACGATGGTAAGATGAAAAAAGGCAGATAACCTTTTGTGTCCTATTTATAGCTGATTGATAAGAGGCAGTCTTGTTGATTCTAATTTTGTATTAGCTGACAGATATTTCTTGCCTTGTCAGGTTTATTATTTTCTGGCCTTGACGTCATTATTTTTTGAAATTGTTTGTTTTCAAACTTTCAAAGGTGACCTTAAATTTCAGTTGAGGGTTGACGTGATGGATCATGATGCAGTTAAGACACATTGGTTTGTTCCTGACAAAGGTTTTGAAGAAATTGGCCTTGCAAACAGTACAAACGAATACTGCTTCGACAGTAAGTACAATTATTTTGAACTCCCAACTACAATTCTTATTAACTGCATTTTCGAAACTTTAACAGGTAATATGTATTGCATTGCACCTGAGATTTCGTTTGAAACTCAGACAAAGAAGCAATGTTATCTGTTTTCAAAAAAGTATTATATAATTTGTAAGATCCAAATTTAAGGCAGTATGCATTCAAAAGTTTTATTAAACACTTCAGCAATTAAGAGTAAAAGATTAATGGTGAATTTTGTTACTATAAAAAGTTATTCCTTTTTCATTTCATAGTAGATTGTCTTACTATATTAGTTGATATTTTATTAACTTTTCGTCTTTCCACAACAGAGATCTATCCTACTGGACTTCCTCAAGAAGCAGCCTGGTTTCCAGATTTTAGGAGAGGGGATAATCCTCTAGATGATGAATATGGGATGTTCTACTATCTGTTTCAAAGTTTTGTTTTTCCACCCTTTTTTGTATTTTTGATCGGCATTTTCGGTATTATTGCTTGCGTACGTGGACAAGTGTGCCGATGTTGCAACCGAAGAAACCGTGCATCTGGGTATGGTAATCATTCTATAGTCACAGTACAAGCCCCATAAGCGAAGGATGGATTTTACCAGGCTCAGTCTGCACTATTAAATAATCAACATAGCCACGCCCTGCTTGATTGGACCGTAAAATATTTTGACTGCAACAATATTGTCTTCCAAAGATCACTACTTATACTTGCTGGCCACACAAATCTCATCTTGGACAAAAAATGACTGAGTTATGAGCCAACAACGGCAATTTTTATTTTCCATAATATTGGTTGTTGATATTTGAAGCGGTAAATGCGATGAACTTTCATTTCATTTCATTTCATTTCATTTCAAGCACCAAGTATGGTTATTAACTTCTGAATAACATGTTTAGATACGTATTCTTCAATCTAATCTTTAACTGGGTACCAGGAATTTTCAGCTGTACAACAAAAGAGATTTTGGTGTACAACTCTTTTGTACTTTTGTACAAATAAAGATATAAATCCATGCCATTCGCTTCGCCTAGAGCTTTTGAATGACCCAATTTCTGGATCCCAGATTGTTTTTGGCTTAAATGAAAGACAGATAGTACATGCTCTGGCTGATGATATTTTATGATATCAAATGATGCTACCTACTGCAAATTATTGGTTTACTTTACCATTTCTGATACATAATCAAATAAAAAAACAAAAAAATTCCTTTTTTTTTGTCTTTTTTTATGTCTTGATCTCTTACTTTCTAGGATCTGTTTCTTTCTTGATTGATTATGTCACTGTACTTACCTTTATTATACCTACATGTATTGTATGGTTTCTGCCTCTATTTAGTTTAGTGTGGTTTACAATAAAAGATGTTTTAATTTTGTCTTTGCCTTATATGATGAGTTATACTTTAGTTCACTTTTACACATTTGCTCACATCACTCACAGTCAGCCGCTCTGACATGGTTAACCACCTTCCTTGTGTTGTTGGTTAATCATATGAGCGGGATATAAATACCTCATTTCATTTCATTTCTTTAATCATAAATAAAATGAGCATAAACCACGAATTAGTTAACTAGAAGTAAACTTGAGGAAATATTCTTTGGTGATTGTATATAATTATTTAAAAAAACTTTATTTGTATATAATTATTTTTTAAAACTTTATTTGGTTGTTAGTATTTTTATTATGGCAAGTGGTTGAATTTAGTGAGACAAGGTCAGTTTCTCTATTGTCTCAGAAAAATTTCTACTTTACAGTAGGCAATGCTGAGTGGCAGGAATAAGGGACCAAAACGCTTTGGGCTAACAATGGCCCACGCTTGGGGCTAACAATGGCCCAACCTTGTGAAATTTGATTTCGAGATATACCAACAAACTAAGGCATGTGACCGAACTTTTGAGGGTGACCAGACTCAAAAGTTCGGTCACAGGCCTTAGTTTGTTGGTCAACTGGCTATCTCAAAATCAAATTTCACAAAAAAAACTAGGGCGAACTCCCCCTCCACAGGTCTACCAAAGATGGCAATCCAAGATATGAAAATTTGGGTGATGATTTCTTCGGCAGTTTTGTTCTTTACCTTAGTAGCCGCTGTGTAACGTGTAACAGTATCAATCATGTGAAGTATTATCTCCCCTGTACTCAATTGCTTTAGATCCATAGCAACACGGTCGTTGAAATGTTTTCCTGGCGGCAGTGCAGTCTTCCTGTGCGGAATTTGTTTACTTTTGCGTTTCAAGCAGTGATCACATGAATGCTCGATTTCTTCCAGATTCTTGCATATCTCTTCTTTCTTTGATGATGCGAATCCCATTACTACTTCTTGTATCTTGGAACAGGATGCGTGTGCAAAGTAGCGGTGTAGATGCTGTGCAAATTTCTTTGGGTGCTCCGAGTTTTCAAAGGATAATAAGGTTAACTATGGGTTATCATCCTTGATCATCTTTGTTTCCACGGGCTCTCTTCTGTTGCCGAAAAGTACAATCATGTGACCTGAACCAGTGATACTGAGTTTCTCTCTCTTCCCGAAAACACATAACTCATCTTTGCTGAAATCAGTATTGCAGCTCATCTTTTTCATTGTCGCTCTTGCCAGTAAAAGAGGTACTGGGTACATCATTCTCAACTACAAACGTCCAAATTCCAATTTTCTTTCCACATAGAGTTACTGGCAAATTCTCTCTCATTTTCGCTATTGTGGGTGCACCGTTCCCAAATCTGAAGGTCTGAAAGCACTTTTCTGTCACCATGTCTGACTTCTGCTTATCAGTCAGGGACTTCTCAAATGTTTCGAGCCACAGCTTTCCACACACAGTTGCTGATGCACCAGAGTCCAGTAAAGCACCTTTGTAGGTTTCTCTTAAGCAGTCATCTTGGCATATAATATGTTTACAAACGATTGAAAGTAACTCCTGTTTTGTGTTGAGCCCTTCCTACAGTCCCGTGCCATGTGGCCTGCAACTCCACAAACATAACATTGTATATACTCTTCGGTTTGTACTGGTGAGATTGGTTTCTGCTTTTATCAGGGTACTTTCCTCTCCCCCAAAAATCCTTCTTATCATAACGCCCACGACTTGTCCCACGTTGATTGTAGCTATCTCTTCCTCTGTTATATTGATAGCCACCTCCTCTAGAACCGTAGAATGCTGTTGCGCTGTCTGATTCTTCTTCACTAGTGGTGTGTCTCGATCTTGGAGAACATTCGCCGCTATACTCCGTATCGCTACTATTCTTCTTGCTATAGAAGATAGGCTCCTCCTTAATCTTAGGGCTTTAGGGTCAGCTGCTGGGGTAAAAGTCAGCGTTTGTGAACTTTTACTATTACTGCTTTCACACTGTGACTTCTGATCCAGTTGAATCTGCTTCTTTCCAAATAACTTGTGCAGTTTTTTGATCATCACTGATTACAGAGTTTTCGAGTAAGAAGTATCCCAACGGGGGGGGGGGGGGGGGGGGGGGGGGGGGGTAATGACTACTTTTGGGGACTTGGGGAATTACGTCAATTCCCCATGATTTTTAGTCCCCATTAGTCCCCAAAAGTCTCCATTAGTCCCCATTTAGATTTCAAAAAATCTGGCTTCTCCAGACCAGATCGTAAACTTCTCAAGACTGAAGTCTAGAATATTTATAAATGGTCACTGGACATTCCTGACTTCTTGGGAGCTACTTGAGGGCTGTTAGAGTACCTCAGGTTATTAAACTAACTTGAAAACCATAAATAACTGTCAAAAATTCTGGGGACTTATGGGGACAAATGGTGAATTACGTCAACGAGTTGACCTCTAGATTTTTAGTCCCCATTAGTCCCCAAAAGTCTCCATTGGTAGTCATTACCCCCCCCCCCCATCCCAACAGAGTGCTATCCATGAGATCTATTCCTTCTTCTAACGTTGATGCCTCACGAAGGCGCCTTAATCTGTGATCGAATTCCCGACAGTATTCTTCAATACTCATACCCGCTGGCCGTACATATTTGATAAAATCACTGACTGCGTCATGATATTTCAGGGTCTGATCTTGGGCGAATTGTGTGTCCAATTCTTTTATTAGATATTCTACTCCTGTTTCTTCAGCGAGTTTAGCTTAAGGTTTTAAAAAAACATATTTGATAGATTTACAGACAAAAATTTTCAGAAAAAATCATGTTCCCGGGAAGCGAAAATCCGATGAGTTTTTCAGACCCACCATTTGAGTTGCCAGACCCACTCTTTTAGAGTGAAGACCCACCATTCTGGTTGCCAGACCCACTTTTCTAAGGCAAAGACCCACCATTCTATTTGCCAGACCCACTCTTCTAGAGTGTAGACCCACCATTCTGATTGCCAGACCCACTATTTAACAGGGGCTCATAATGCGCAAAATTTGCCGCTGTTGAGTGGGTATGCCTAAAATTCACAGATCTAGCTCTCCAGTCATATGGGTAACAAGTATGGGTGCAAGATGCTTTGTGGCGATTGAACTAGCTTTTTGCCACATGCAAACCCGCCTTTTCCAGTCTGAGTATATTGTTGCTTCTCCTAGTGCCGGTACTCTATCGTTCCCCATTTTGGATCTTTTCTTCTTCTGCTACCACTGTTATATACTTATATTAGGGTAACGAGGGTAACCAGAGTAATAATTAAAACGCTTGGGATAAAAGGTGTTAATAAGGAAATAGGTTAAATAACAACTACTCTACAGACTCTACAACTCTAGAAACTTTCACAGATGTGAAGTGAATGTTTTGTGTGAGTGTTAACTGTTGATATTTGTGGGTACTTTAAATCTATATCAATCAATAAACTTGGTCATTCCTTTACTAATAATTTAATGTAACTGATCCCGATGTGATGTGGTAAGTTCCTCGAACTTTCTAAGATCTCGTTGGGGGTGTTGAAATGTCGTGAGTATTCGCAATACTACTTCGCTCTCTCAGAGCTAACTGTGTCAAGAAGGTTTCTCAAACTGCTACGCTAGCAGGCTCGTCTCAAACACTGTCTATTCCTTAGTCCTTACTGCTACACTAAAATACTAGCAGGCTCGGCTCATATACAAACAACCTGAGCTAAAACAACTATTAATCTCTAAGAAATCATCCTCTCAGGAAGTATACAATGAAATCACGAAACCAACAACAAACATACTAACGTACTTACCGGCTTCTACTCAGACACTCTCGTTGTTCGTGCGGTGTCCCAGCTGGATGTTGTTGTTTCTGCTATGTACAATGTATTTACATGCTATATGATAACATTGGTTAGATAATCGACATGGCTGACTAACAGTTTTGGGGGAAAAATTAGCCTGTTATATTGATTTACTAGCTAAAGAGGGGCCTGGTGTATAAAGTTTTTACTGTAATCATAAAGTCATAAAATAGCTTCTTAACTATGTCGTTTTACTTTATTATGTGCCTTTTATCCCTTTTAAACGATTATGAAACCTGTTATTCAGGGTTAAACGAGGAGGGCCCTGGTAAAAGGACCTGAATTGCAACATAAATGTGCTCTTAGTCATTAGTGTCAGTCCATGTGCATAGGAGTGTACTGTGAAACCATAAAACCATTTAAAAATTACGTTACTGGGGGACATGGACAGGGGGAGGGTTCTTTTTGTACAATAGCTGTACAAAGCTGAGTTTGTACCCCTTTTATTATCTTAGAACGTTTTTCTTCTGACTTCTACTCTCTTTGTGTGAAAGAGGAACTAGGTAGACCATTATAAATGTTAATGTCATCCCCTAGTGATTTGTGTTTTCTGTTCTTGTAACCAATTGAATGCCTTAATTAAGTGCCACTTATCATTTAAATTGAGCTGACTGCTTTTACCATCACAGTCTTTAATTCAGTAAACTTTCACACTTCAGTGCAACTTTCAGAATAAATAAATGGCTAATGTTCCCTTTAAATGCCGAAGAAGACCCCTACAAGATTTAAGATCTTTTGTCAAGGGCCTTGGCCTTTAATGCCACATTAAATTTATTATGAATACACCAATATAATAAGAAAATATCATAAATTACACTATCAGAGTTGTCTATTATTTAAATAAACCTAAATAACATAATGGCTATGTGCATGACACATTGTGTCATTGACATTATATTTTTTCACATAGTGCGATGACATTTTGTAGACATGTGTGATGATTTGATGTCATAAATTTTACTTTACTTTACTTTACTTTATTGTTCAGGATATGTCAGGTAATTACTATTTTGTCATCATTGGACACCAAGACAACCCGATATATGAGCAGGAACACAGCAGGTAGATTTGACTTTTAGTTACATATTATTCAGTTTCTTGTTACTGCCAAACCAAGATTTACTGTGGTTGTTGCAGTAAACAAAATTACCCAGGTAAATTAGGGCACGGTAAATCAGGGTTTGCCTTTGTTAAGTTAACTAATATGGCGTATTTTTAATTTAGTGACAAAAATACAAATAATGAACATCTTGAAGACAGTTCAGTCGAGTCTAATACTGTTTTTCCCTTTTTGGGCATTTATAATCATCTTTTTCCAGTCGTGATAGCCAGAATAAGAAAGATGACTACAGAGACTTGTGTCAGTTTGTGGCACATGCGTCCCTAGATATGATAGATGAGCACATGTGGACTACTAATAACATGTATCTAAAGGTTAGTACCTATCATTCATATTATGAAATTTAAAACTGTTAAATATATTAAATGATACACAGAGTTCCAGGACATAGTTTACCAATATGTTCATTGTTCTGAAGTTTACTATAAAGTTTCTGATCACCTTGCACTCAGTAAAAATTCTTTTATTCTAACTATTTACAGATAGTGGACAAGTTCAACGATTGGAACGTCTCAGCTTTTGTAACTGCTGGTAGACAAAAGTTTATCATACTACATGACGTGAAGAATGAGGATAGTATCAGGCAATTTTTCCAGGTAAGATCTTGCCTTATTAAATTTTTGGGACCTGTCTTGGTGCTTTGTAATTCTAAATTCTGGTGTACCAGCACAATCCTGCTTGTTTTGATTTTATTCACCCAATGTGATTTAAAAGTAAATAATCTTGATACGATACTGACACTAAAAACAAGCACTTTTCCTCAGGATGTGTACGAACTTTACATAAAAATAGCTATGAACCCATTCTATGAACCCAACACACCAATAACCTCCCAAATCTTTCATCAGAAATTGAAAGTGCTTTGTAGGAGATATTTGATATAGACTTATGTTTGTTTGCTTCTACTCAAGACATGTGAAAGATCTCAAGGAGTTACGTTTATGTTTTGAAGTTTCAAAAGATTGTACATTGAGCTGTTTGGATAGATCTCCTTTTACTCTATTAGGGTATAGTAACATTAAGAATTTTCAGAATACTGCTTGCCAAATGTTAAGCAATGAATTGACTTGAGCTTGTATGTTATGGTTCTAATTTTGTTAATTTAGCTGAGTGCTTCTGTTTTTATCCTTCATGGAGGTAGTAGGATTCAATTTTTGTGAATGTTAAAGAAATTGAGAATTGATTTATGTACTAAATTTTGATGGAATCTAAAATTGATGAATGAAATTTGACAAAAACGACAAGGTGTTTGTAATTCGAGCTATTATAAGCTATTGCCTATTACTTCAAATCTATAAGTTAATTGAGAACTACAATTTGTGAAATTTATTTGTCATAAAGAGTTTTTTCCTTCCATGTACTTGCTTGAGAAGTTGAGAAGTCAAATGTTATTTCCCTTGGCCTTGTATATAACGAAAATCTCTCAGTTTTAGAAACATGGTTCATCTTTTCAATGCTGGTCCTGCGAAAGTTCCTGATGAAGTCAAGGAACAAATTCAGTCAGAGTTCTTCAACTTTGCAGGTTCCGGCATCAGTGTCATTGAGATAAGTCACAGGAGTCCAGAATTCACTGCTCTTATGAACGAAAGCAATGTTAACCTGAGAGAAATCCTAGAAATCCCTGACAACTACAGAATTCTGTGGTTAGCTGGGGGTGCAACTGGACTGTTCTCTTCCATTCCTCTTAACTTGATAACCAGTAAAGATGATGTTCTGGACTACGTTGTTACTGGAACTTGGAGTAAAGGTGCTGCTAAGGAGGCTGAGAAGTATGCTAATGTTAACTACGTTGTGCCAATCCCTGCAGACTTTACAGGTTAGTTTTGTGGTGGGAGATTTGAAAATAGTGCTTATTTTATACTTTTATATTTATGGAAAATTGAGATGGTCGTGCGAATATTTAGATTGTACCAGCACCTTGATACTAACTGCTAAGTGATGAGAAAATTCTTCAAGTTCCCATTAATTTTACCCTCTAAAAATGCCCACTAAGTTGCTAACATGCATCACTAATCCAGGAGTTCCTCTAGAAGAGAGCATGAAGTTTACACCAGGAGCAAAGTACGTATTTTACTGTGACAACGAAACAGTTAACGGTATCGAGTTCCCCCACATTCTCAAAACTGACAGCACTATCGTGTGTGACATGTCATCTAACTTCCTGTCCCGTGCTGTAGATGTCCAAAAGTATGGGGCTATATTTGCGGGGGTACAGAAGAACGTGGCACCAGCTGGGTTAGGAGTGCTGATTATAAGGGAGGATCTGATCTCCGCTGATAGGCTTCACCAGGTTCCCAAAGTCTGGGATTTCAAACTTCAGGATGCTGCTAACTCGTGTCTGAACACCCCCAATGTGTTCTCACTGTATGTCACCAATCTCGTGCTGAAACATCTCATGAAGAACGGAGGATTGAAGAGATACTCTGAGCTCTCTCGTCAGAAGTCCAGTGCAATCTATGATATAATCGATGATAGCAATGGTTTCTACGCCTGCAAGATTGACAAAGATGCCCGTTCCAGGATGAATGTCACTTTCAAGCTAGCTTCCAAAGATCTGGAGGCTGAGTTTGTGAAGAAGGCAGCTGATCTTAAAATAGAAGGAGTAAAGGGGCATCGTTCTGTGGGTGGTATCCGGGCTTCACTTTACAATGCGGTTACTATGGAGAGTGTCAACTACCTTGGTGACTTCATGAAGTCTTTCCAGAAAAATCACGAGTAAGCTATACTGTTTTGTGGAAAAGGGAGCCCCGTTAGAGAATTGTTGAGTAAAACTAGAAATTAGAGTTATATTATATAATATAATATAATATATCACGAAAAATGCTATGCAAAATGTTTAAAAAATTATAAGTTACAAGCATATTCGTTGTTTTCAATGTGCCATTTAGAATTTTATAACTATGTAAATTAGAGTTTTTTGATTTTCTAGATTTTCTAGATTTTAATTTAGATCGTATCGGTTTTTTGCACTTTGCCCTAATTTTATTATTCTCTTTATCATACATAACATATTTTCTTTATCATCAAGCTTTATTGGTCTTTGCATACAAATATTTTTTGACATCATCTTTAAGATGATAAATTTTGACACTTAGTTCAATAGTTGTACTGATTTGGTTATTTTTAAAGAAGTTTTATATTGCCTTACTTGTTTTTGTACTCTTTTAAATGATATCGTTAAATTAAATCTAAAGCAATAAGACATGTTATTTGGACTCGTTCATATATTGTCTATTGACACGTAAGCCATATTTTGAGCATTTTATACCCTCCCTCGGCACCGGTAATTTGAGTCGTTTTATACATAGCTATTGTGAAGAAAGTGTACAGCTGTGTTAACTTCACCTCTTTTACCCCCTCCCAAAGTCTGCTTACGCAATATGTGAACAATTTCTTATGGCTGCAGTTGCCATGTTTGATATTTTTAAAATTTGTATTATTTCATCTACAAACTTGCTTTTAAATATATTAACCAATTACAGATCTAACATAAAAGATCCTGTTTACAGGGAAGTTTTGAAGATATGTTAATTATAGAATTATATTTCAGACACATTTAAAAAATCCTTTTGCAGATCATTTTTGTTAGTATAGTTGGGTTAGTATAGTTGTTAGTATAGTTGTAGGTATAGTTGAGCATGATGGTTTAATTATTAAGGTTTAAATTATTGGTATTTGAGTATTGAAGACTAGAACCTAAATAGATTTATTCTATCATGTTAGATTTCTAGGTGTATCATATTTCCAAGAAAGTTTATAATGGGAATTTTTGTACTTTTTTTAACGGGTTCCGAATAATAAATGCGTTGTTATTGAGCAATAGCTACCATGAATTATCACGGTTTTTAGAAAATAGAAATTCGACCATTTACCATATAATCAAGATTTTAGAAATCGACTCAGAGCGACTGTTCTGCTCCAGTTAAAACTGAGTACTGACCAATAAATCCTCAGAATATGGCAAAACATCACCCTGATCTGATCATGTGTAGGAAACAGCCGGGGGTCGCCATTGGCAGACTCTGTGAGAAATGTGAGTAGATAAGTGGTATATATATAATAATATATTATTGTTGTCGAATGAAACTATTGTGGGTGGTAAACCAACTCAGTAAATTGACAACTGAGAGAATAGTTGCAAACTTCATACTTAAATGACTTTTAAACTTTTAAATAAGTATATAAAATAATCCTCCCAGGTGATGGACGGTGTGTTATCTGTGACTCGTATGTGCGTCCCTGCTCACTAGTACGTATCTGTGACGAGTGTAACTACGGCTCATACCAGGTTTGTTCATGGTCATGGTCCATGCCATTATCTAAAACGTGCGTCTTTTTGTAGTAACAAAGTTACATCAGAAATACTGTAGTATTTGTGAGTGAACTATCTGCAATGGCCCCTTAAGTCTGCATCTTATAACCCCCGCGACATTCCACCAGGGACGTTGTACCATCTGTGGAGGACCAGGAGTGTCTGATGCCTACTACTGCAAGGAGTGCACTATCCAGGAGAAAGACAGAGACGGGTGTCCTAAGATTGTTAATTTGGGCAGTTCAAAGACTGACTTGTTTTATGAACGGAAGAAGTATGGGTTTAAGAAGAGATAGGGTTGTTTGTTTTGTGTTCAGTTGATCTGACACTTGACAGAATATTTTATATCGTATTTTTGTGTCTTATTTATGACGGTACTTTTTAAAATTTTCACGACGATTTCGTCTTTAAGTTTTATTTATTATAAGGATTAACTATCCATTTTATTTGCATATCAAGTGCGTTTAATGTCCAGTCTAGTTCGCTAAGTGACTCAGTGAAGAACGTTATGATTCTGTCAGAATATTTATTAATCTATCGGAATCTTTATGTTTTTCACTGCTGTTTTCTCATTTTAAAGTGATAGTACTACTCTCTTTATACTTTCAATATATTATCATTTATCCGTTTCATTGCAGTTCCTTTTAGTCGTACAAACAACACAATATCTAACAGTAATTATGATCTCCTGAAAAGTAACATATTCAGTATCTCAGGTATAAACTTCTTAGGTTGAACTATTTTTCTTTCCGTTCAAGATATACCATCTGAATAACTAAATAACCCTTCTATTACAGCTTATGTTAAACAGGAAAACAGATTCGTAGCCCACAAAACAAGACTGTAAGTGTTTTAGAATAAGCTTAGCAATGTTTAAGAATCATTGGTACAAAAACGAGTTTATTGTAGACCGAGGTAACTAGGTAAGTGCAAATATAATGTAACGTTATTTAATATCTATCCAAAATGAAAGTTGCCATGAGTATAAGTATGAAAAGTTCATGCATCGTAGACCACTAAAATTGTACTTAAATCTTCTCCCACGAGCTTTGGGAGGTTAAAACAGTTTCATTGCCTGTATTATGCGAACTTGATATATAAGAACCGTCCCATCATCGACCGAGAAGGAACTTGACGATTCCGAATGAGAAGTTGCTTGTCTTCTGAGGTTTCGTGTGAAGGATAATCTTGACTATCTCATCTTGCAGCTGGTTCAGGTTTAAGTTCTCCTTTGTGGACACTTCCAAATAGGCAGTGGCACCAACCTGGGGAATGGGGAATGTTTTGTATCAGTATTCAGTACAGTCAGCACAACGTATCAAGTTAGCAAATTATGGATTTTGACAAGCCTATGTTTCTTAATAACAGAACATCTTTTGTTTGACACATGACAGCTGCTCGCACTCATGATCTATGATCGTTTACAATTATTATAAGCTGTATAGTTTGGAATAACTAACCTTGATAGCCATTTCTACTCCTTGCTCCACGCTAACCATGTCTTCTCTGTTAGGATCATCTCTCAGATCACATTTTGTTCCAACTGCTAATAAAGGCACCCCTTTAGCTTCACGTCGCGCCTGAGATTCGTACGTTTGAAAAATCAACATGATAAATATTTTTGAATTTCAAAATAAGCATTATATAAACTATGTGATCAGTCATTACTAGATTAATCATCAAATATTTTGTTTTTCATTGATAATAAGACATGATCCGATTGCTTACCTCAGCAATGTATTCGCTGTCGAGTTTGTTGTAAGAATCAACATCATTGACAGCAAAACAACAGAGAATGAGATCTTTGTTCTTGTACTGATCTACGCTGTGTTTGAGCTCATACTCGAAATATTTCACATTGTAGTCATCTCCATCCACTGTCGATATCGACATGTCGTTGTAGGTCCCTGAATTGGTTGTATGTATGAAGAAAATGTTTGATACCATCATGCCATCACTAATAATAACTAACTTTGAGCTAGATGTAGAGCTTTCGAGTTGGGTCATTATTTAAGGATAATTTTAAATAAGTTTTGCATTATATTCGTATAGCAGATTATAGTTCTTTTGTAGTTTGTTATTGTAAAGTTCTTACCGTCATCATTGGTATGAATGTCAATAAATGTGGATTTGCCAATCCCTTCCCTGCCCACCGTCAGAACATTGAAGATCGTCATCCTGGCAACAATATAACGTTATACTCGTAGATCGGATACATAAAACATAAAACTCAACTACCAACTTGAGTCCTATTATAAACCGAAATCAGACGGGCCCGGGACTCTACGGCGTAAGACTCTACGGCGTGAGACTTTAACCCTAACCCTAACCCTAACCCTAACCCTAACCCTAACCCTAACCCTAACCCTAACCCTAACCCTGACCCTTACCCTAACCCTTACCCTAACAGCCTAACCCAAACCCTAACCTTAACCGTACCCGCCATAGAGCCTCACGCCGTAGAGTCTTACGCCGTAGAGTCCAGACCCCAATCAGACATAAACAGAACGAAATCGTCAGCAAAAAGTACTAAAGTAGCAACTCTCGAAAGTAGTGAAGAATAGGAATTTGCATGATATCTCTTAGTCTTACTCCTTTATAAAATAAATCGTACTGTAAAGCTGTAATCGAAAATTGGCTGCTGATGATTGTCAAAGCATATTATTGATATAAGAAGACAATTAAAATTCCATCAACGTTCACGGAAGTAATTAAATACCTGTGTATTGAAATCATAGAAACGATTTCCTACGGTGACATTGTGCATCAAAACGCTAATTGTTACCAATACAAGCGGCAAGCGATGCACCGTGAAGATACTGAAGAAGCATTATAATACACAACAAAGTTATGCGATATGATAATGTAAGCAAAGTCCCACAGCTAAACCTATGATGACTATGTGCAACAGAAAGTTCAATAATGAACGTGTGATTATTCCATATATGGGCATCAGCTGTTATTGGGACCTGACAGCATGTCATTGGTATATTGTATTAAGCTCCTAATGTTGGTGTATAGATGTATTGTATATAATAGATGTATTGTGTATAGAGATTAGAGGCTCTTAGCTCTTGGTTTTGGTGGAGCAATAAATTAAATCGCTGGATAATTACTTTTATCAAACAGTATATATTTTGTAATCCAATATCATTCAATCAACAATGTCAGTCAATATAATTAGATACATTTTGATAGATAATTATTCTTACGATATAGATAACAGACAGGTATTATTCCCCTCCCATAAAAACTGGTCTTAAAAATACATCAATAAACAAGCACAGAGCTTTCACTAAAGGAACAGAGAGCAAACTACACACCGCTGAAACAGAACTGTAGCCGCGTATCAAAAACTACACTGCAGGCTGTACACTGTAGCCTGTCATCACGTTTGCTGTTCTGTTAATTCTGCGCTAGCTTCCGTCACATCAAACAGTTGGCCTCTAAATTGTTCACTTAATTGTTTAATCTATATTATCTGGGACATGTTATGTTCAATGTATATCATTAGGAGAATGAACTGTCATTTTTACTTAAATGATGTTGAAATGCTGGATGCATGTACATGTGTAGTTGTACATGTGTAGCTCAATGGAACAAAATGTACTGAATTAATATAAAACGCAAATCTTAGAAAAAAAAACGTTCTAAACAGCAGTATCGGACAGAAACGAGGTAGAAATGAGCATCTGATTAGCCCTACTGTTATGCATTTAACGTGTATACACGTCTTGCAATTATACTGTCAAATTATCTCACTTGAGCTAAACGCTTACGTTAAATTTTGAGCTTGTTTTTGGGTGTCATTGCCATTCACCATTTATTTGAAAATTCCAGGTTTTCGCCAATTTCGCCATTTATAATAGATCATGACAAGAATGGTTCGAGAAAGATTTCGCAATTTGCCGAACTTTATAATTCATGGTAAAATTGACAGTCCTAAAAATATTCAATTCTGCGACATGCCACGTGAACTACTGTTCACAACTGAGCTTCTCTTCGTACAGTAACATAATATCCCTTTTAAATTTACCCTTGTTGTTTCAAACCTCTTCCGACTATTATATTATATATATATATATAGAAATCGTGATAGAATAAAGAATTGCGCTAGAAAAGCTCGAAATTTCAAGGCCAGCGTTTTTCGGCAGTGCAATTTAAAACTGAATTTAAACTAAAAAGTGTCAAAGTGAAGCCCTTGCAAATTTTATAGACGGGTTCGCCGCATATCAAACGTGTGAAATTAATATCAACACTAAACGACAACACTATGATCTAGTCAATAGCCGATATAGGGAAACCAGATATATTGTGACGATATTATATAAAGCCTATAATATAATATGGTATAAGGATAGTTCAAAACATATGATTTCAACACAAAACTAAACTAACACGACATACATACTAAACAAAACATCTCACTGCACTGCCTTGTGTACACACGGATGTACCAAATATTGCTCTAAAACAGTCGCATAATACCAGACAGCTGCATCAAACTGTTATGAACTACACAGAAACGTCACTTGTACAAACAAAACATCATAGCACATAACAGATAATGTGTGTAATGATGTGCCCTCTGATTAGATTAGCTTACATTATATTGTAGACTTTGTCTACTACACATTACATATTTTACTCTTCTTCATTAAGTCCTATATTCGGTGAGTTAATCATTGTTTTTGATGAGGATCATACTACCAGTACATACCATGCTGCTGATAATAACGGCTCACATCGTTTTGCCCCAGGACCATGTGCCCCTAGATTTGTAGCCCCAGTTACACCATTCTTCTAGTACATTTTACTAAAGAGTATTGTATTTGTGTCCCGGTTCAGTACCAGTGGTGTTGGCCTTACTCTGGTTCCAATGACCATAAACCCTAACGCATACTCTAAATGTAATCCTCAACCTTAACATTTTAACAATGCTCTAAGACGGGGCACGAAGTTATGGGGCAGGACCTCCTGGGGACGGACGATATTTTAGCAATAGTAATGATAGCAGCTGTCTGAGAAGATGTTTCTCATTGATATTTCTCAGTAAACAAGTGTGATAATTTTATCCTTTTAACATTTAACCGGATTTGGACCTTGTTGAATACCATTATTCTACCTTCTACAACTGTAACATTAGATGACTTCATAATCCGTGCACTTAACCAGAACTATGTGTTTTACTGAGCCAACTCATTATATTATCTACACTCGATGATGGTACAGTTGTTATCAACATATAATAATTTTAAACTGCACCCGATAACATTTGTGTTGAAGACACCTCCTTATACAATTACTAATTGTTGTTATATAATTGTAAAGGTCCAGATAATCGCTCATTCAGGCCACAGTGTTCCATTTCCTGCTACAGATTTGTGATAGTTATTGCTAGTTAAACGACCGAGAAGAGGCTCTTTCTCGACTGAAACAGTTCGCTTTGTGTTTGTGGTATATTGTTGAGTGTTGCTGATGTCGCGGTGTAACTACTCCCTGGGCCAGGCTAACACTATACTGGAGTACAGACTTAAGAATAAACGCTGGACTAAATCCCTCTCCAGAACCTCGCCATCAGGAGGGTTGAAGGATATAAAAAACCTCCAAGAGGAAGTTCGAGGAAAAGATCTAGAATCATTACAACAGTGTCACGTGGAGGAGCCAGCTGTAGAACAACCGGAACTGCAACCGGAACTGCAGCCGGAACTGCAACAGGAACTGCAGCCTTGCACTATGGTATATCCTCTTAACGATCTTACAGATGTAGCCTCTGTTAACCGGATGTTGGGTATGCCACCTCTAACTCTGGCTTCTACAGTATCTTCTACAGTATCTTCTACAGTATCTTCTCAAGTATTCCGATGGAAGTTTGCTCAATCTTGTCGAACTGTCAACCTATGCAGAAGCCGTACTAAAATCCACCATCCTAAAGCTCCACAAAACTTAGACATAGACCCCGCTGAGCTTCAGCTTCCCAAATCTCTGGAAGGAACACGATTTGTCAAGATCCAGCCCGCATCACCTCAATTAGAGGTTAAAAGTTACTACGATCTGGTACACAACAAACAATCCAAACATAACAGTAATCAGTGTTTGTGCACAAAGTGCGTGGTAAAGCGATCCACCAGTCTGAAAACCAAAGCAATGCAAGCAGTCGGAATCTCCAAGATCACGGAGAACTCTGAGAGTTGGAACGCTGCCAAGTATCCTGACAGCAGACTCAACCACTACTATTCTTGTAACTTCTGCGTGAGCTTCACCTTCCCTACTCTTAGAGAGATTCGTCTTCATATTAACAGGGAACACGTGCACACACCTTACTAAAGGTCAGTCCAGTCGTGTAAGATGAAGTTTAACCGATCTCTGCAGACATAATACCAGTGAATACATGCGTGCTCAATATATGTTATATTGAGTGGTTGTATGGAAAAGACGGACTCTGAAACTGCTTCTTGCTCTTACTAGTCTCACTCTATTGTCTTTTGTCTATATATCACAGGCTGAACTACCTATCAAAAGACTTAAAACAAATTGAATTAAAACTTAACTTTTCAGTTTAATTTCGGACATAACTTTACTTATGTGTCAAACAACGAAGGTCGTACTTTATTGCAACCAGCAAAACCGTGTCATCCGACAAAACAAAACACAACATAATGTAAAGCTATAACCCAACACTGAGAAGAGGTCAGCTTTAAACACAACTGCGTGTAATCGGATAGCTGGTAGCTGGAGAGAGCTACTCGACTAATTGCCAGTCATACCCGGTATATATTACACTCGCATCAGGTGTAATCTTATTGGACTGTGGATGGGGGCACTCTGGGAGAATAGTTGGAGTCTAGCCTGCATTATGTGGATTTCATTTTCATGTGTGTTTATTTAAACTTGATTGGATGATATTGATAGATTTGAATTGTAGATTTGATTACTATTAAATTGATTGGCCTAAATTATAATTGTTATAATTAATGTTATCTGAGCAGTAATATGATCATTTTGTTATAATATATAACTTATTAGTTGCTGATATAATATAAACTGTATTTCTAATTTGAAATAAACTAAGATTTAACATATAATATGCATGATATCGAAAAAACCGCTCAGTTCTAGACGATTAATAATGTTCAACTTCATGGTTGCTGTCATACGACATACATTATAAAATATTTAAATGAATATTATAATTATAAAGTTATAATTTACCTAGGCCTGAACAACTG